TTTAACCATTACATTTTCCATGTACCTTTCCTAGCATTATTCATGTACATGCAATGGTTTGTTATGTATGAGAGATGCTGGATGACATCCAACTCCATTTTTCTTATCTTAGGCCAGTGTTGCATACCCCGACGGTTGGCTCCCCTTGACTGATCGGCACCTACCAGTCGAGGGTTGTCGGCACCCCACAAATAAAAAAGTCCCCATATTTTTTTTCTGGGAGTCCATAACCCCAATAACCCCACCAACAACCCCATATTCGCCCCCAATACCCCCATACACCCCCCCAACACCCTAAAACCGTCCCCCAATACCTCCTATACCACCCCTATACCACCCCCACCCTCACCCCCCCAATCCCCCCCATACTCCTCCCCATCCCCAAAAGGTACTCAGCGGATTTGGGCTGTACTCAGCAAGTGCAGTACAGCCCCCAACTCAGATTTGAAAAAACTTCAGTGGATGGCTGTTTTCTGACTGGTCAGCAGACCGCCAACCGGTTGACACTGCTGGTCGGCAGTCGGGGTCTGTGTTCAGCACGTATGCAACCCTGTCGTAGGCTATTTTTTTCTGGGTGCACAGGCTGCCCACACCTGTACGGAGGTGGCCGGGCAGGTCAACAGGTCAGTTTGTGCAGCCTGAGCGCCCAGTTTTCCCACCCGGTCGGCAGCCTCCTCGTCCCTTCGCCAGACACCTACAAAACTCGTGACGGTGACGACGATGATGATGAACGTAATGATGGTACGTTGAAGACGATGATGGTGATGATGATCCCAATGAGCCTGTCGAACATGACAAGCTTCTATAGGTCTATCATGCAAATATTTCATTGTCTACCACAGGGAAGCGGGGAACGCAGCCGTAAGGACCTATGTTTCTTTGTTTTCTTCCTCTGTGTGTGTGTGTGTGTGTGTGTGTGTGTGTGTGTGTGTGTGTGTGTGTGTGTGTGTGTGTGTGTGTGTGTGTGTGTGTGTGTGTGTGTGTGTGTGTGTGTGTGTGAGAGAGAGAGAGAGAGAGAGAGAGAGAGAGAGAGAGAGAGATTTGTGTGTGAGAGAGGGAGAGAGACGTTTCCTTTTCCCACATGCGGCTTGTAATAAATGCAAATGGTAGTGGGTTTGTTACTGCTTCAAGAACTTTGGCAGATGAAAGGACTGTCAACGGAGCCACGAAGCACAGCGCGAGTGTGCTACCCGGTCTGGCCGGAGAGGCCCAGTCACACACCAGTTGACTTCCTCGGAAATCCCGAGGAAGACCCGGGTAGGTATCCACCATCACCGTGGGAGTGGCGAAAGGGCAGGTGCTCACATCGGTATCGAGAACCAGGGACGTCCTTGTGCACGAGCGAGCACGAGGCGACGAAGACAGCGAACTTCAGCAAGGGAGACAGGACGAACCAGCAGCCACAACTCGCATGGAGATGGCGTCCAAAAGGGATCTACATGAGTGGTTCGTAACTCTGGAGGAGGGGCGGCAGCAGCTGGAGGAGCTCATACGGGTACTGTCCTCGACAGCAAACTATCCATCCAAGGTTCATGGGGGGTGGATCTCGTTGGTTGCAAGGCTGGAGGACATCTCCCAGCAGATGTTGGATATGGAGGGGTCGGATCCTCCTCGACTGGATGATATCATTGACTGGGAGCAGGCGCAAGTGCTCGTGCGGAGATGCTACGGCCTTTTCAGGGAGGGACAAGCGCTATCCGGCGGCTATTGCAACAGTGGCTGTCGTGGTGACAGAACAAGGGGGCAGGAAGAACCACATCATCTTCAACCTCCGCAAGGTCAGATCGCGGTGACGGCCGGCGATCTTCCTCTACCAGCAAAACCAACGACATCGACAGCAGCGACGGCGGCGCAGACAGCAACAACAGCAGATCGCGGTGACAGCCGGCGATCTTCCTCTATCACCAACACCGATGACATCAACAGCAGCGACAGTGGGCCTCGCTGCACTACTCTTGAAATGCACAAAAGACAAAAATCATGTTGCTGTATCTTTCCATGTTCTAGCGGAAGATTCACTCTCGTTTTGCACCTTTCAAGAGTAGTGCAGCAAGGCCCAGTGACGCAGACAGCAACAACAACAAGCAAGCAACAACAACAACAACAACAGCAACAACAACAACAATACCAACAACAACAAAACGACAAATACAACATCATCAACAACAACAACGCTTCCAACACCGGCTGCGCAGATCGCGGCGACATCTCACAGTACGGTCCAGATATCATCAAGTGCCACGTCATCAACCACAATGACAGCTGTCCCTGCTCAGATTGCAAGGGCAGCCGTGGCTGAGGGGCCACCTGGCAACCATCTGGCAACAGCAACATTAACGACATCATCTGCAGTATTGACGACAACGGCAACAAAGATCACTTTGGTAAGCTTCCTGCATACAGCGGTTCCTGGGCAGGTCGCGGCATCTGGCACTCTGGGCACGATTGGTGAGCTGCGAAGACCATTAACAATTTGCTTTCAACGGGCGATAATTTGGGGTCTGAGGTTGATTGTGGATAGGGGTTTGAGGTTGATTGTGGGGCTCCCTTTGATTATGGGGTTCCGTCTCTCATTAACAATTTGCTTTCAACGGAGGAGAATTTGGGGTCTGAGGTTGATTGTGGGTAGGGGTTCGAGGTTGATTGTGGGGCTCCATTTGATTCTGGGGTTCCGTCCCTCTCCCCCCCTTTTTGTGTGGAGTTTCTTCCGATTGACCCACTCCTCTTCATCTCGTGTCGGGAGGGAGTGGGGTAGACAATGGGCCTCTGATGGATTGGGGTTGGCTGCCCCTCAAACCCTAATCACCATGACCTGTTGATTGTTCCCAAGGTCGGATGTTGGATGTTTACGGTTGTGTGGGTTGAATCGTGTTTTGCTTTCCAGGGGACCTTGATGGAAGTCCTTCCCTGTTCCTGGGAAGTAATCAATGCCTCCTGCTCCATAGGGGGACACGGCAGATACAGGGGCAAGGGTCTTGAGCTTCATATCCAGGGATGCTGGACCCGATTTCCAGCACGTGCAGCTCCCCACCAATAGATGGAGCCTCCAACGCTAGGCCCCACTTAATGGGGCTGCTGTTATCACCTCATTAAGTGCGTTTTCCCACATATAAAGTTTTCTTAGGGGGAAAAAAAAAAAAAAAAAAACTTTGGCAAATTGTTTGGGCCCAAGCGCAAATCTTGACCTTGATGCAGATGCAGGAATGTACTATGCTCTAACAACTTTTGCGAGCTGCAAACATAGATGCACGCATCCATTGTATTGCAACCTTAGGGCGGTCAGTTTCGCTTGGCCTATTGACAGACTGAATTTATGTACTATGTTCTTAAGTTATTTCTGATTTTTTCGCTTGGCCTATTGACAGACTGAATTTATGTACTATGTTCTTAAGTTATTTCTGATTTTTCCAACATTATTTTGCTCACGTTATTTAAGGCAAAGTAGCTTTACTGAACATGTTGCAAGAAGCCGTTGACTATCCTATTGGGCGTGGTTAGATCTTGAAGATTGGGCCGCCTGAGGCAAATTTAAAATTCTGCCTTTCCAAGAGTTTTGGTGTGTTTCGGGGCCTCAAGTCGTGTGGTGGGATTTCACTTTTTCTAATTTTGGAAGGTAATGGTCGGACAACGAGATAGGCGGCGGTTGTCTGTGAACTTGCAAAGGACTGGTCATTGCAAGACTGTTGTTTCTGCTACGTGTCTTTTTTCAGAGTGTTCAGCAGAGAAGAATGCCTTTCGCATAACCGGGGAGCGTGGAATGTAGAGTGTAGAGGTTGGAATGACGGAGTGGAGAAGGAAAATTTGGAATAAATGGGATAGAAAGCGGCCTAAGAAATTTTGCCTTTCGAAGAGTTTGGGTGGGTGCATTTTCGGGGGCCTCAAGTCACAAGGTAGGATTTATCTTCTGTATTTGGAAGGCAATGGTTGAGCAACAAAATAGGTGGCGGTCCGACTGCAAAAATTGTGAAGGGCCGGTCATTGCAAAACTGATGTTTCTGCTAAGTATTTTTTTTATGTGGGGCAATGGTTTGCTGCAAAAGTTAGTGGCACTTTGACAAAAACGTAGTAATGTATTTTACTATTTAGTCTATTTTACTATTTTCCCTTAGCCTTAGCTGTAGGGCTGGGAACCTATAAATTTAGCGGAGGGGAAATCCTCCCTCTCTTCTTTTTTTGAGGGGGGGAACAAATGATGCAATCTATTTGTGGGGAGCAACACGTGCTGGGAACCGGGCCCAGCGTCCCATGTGAAATGCGGAGCGGGAAAGTCCTTTAGCATGACCAGGGGCCAAGTCCAACTAGCAGCGTTGAGCTACCTCAACGCCTGAATCTGGACGTGTTCGTGGAGACGTGCAGCTCAGGAAACTCAACACCATTTCTGCACATCTCCGCAAAAGCGTCCAGATTCGGGCGTTGAGGTAGCTCAACGCTGCTAGTGGGACTTTGCCCCAGGGCATGTGGAACGTAGCTTGGAATGAGGGAGTGATGAGGGAAAGATTGAGAATTGAAATAATATATGGAATAGACCAACGGGCCTGGCTCAGTTGGTACACCCAATGTACTGTTGAAATACAAGCCCAAGTTCAAATCCAGCTACGATCCGATGAACAGAAATAAAATAATTCTGAATTACCTACCTGGGGCCGGTCAGCTCAATGATCACATCTCAAGGTCGCCTCCCTTTAAAAAAAAAAGTTCTATATATCGTCATTTATATCGTATATAAATATATATATATCGTCAAACAGAACTGCCCGGTAAACCGTAGGCAGAGAGGGAGAAGAGGACAACAAACGAGGGGCTGTGACAAACTGTTTCGTCGGAGTTTCACATATGGAATAGAAAAGTTGGTCTGAGATAGCTGTTTATTTTGCACTTTGTTTCATGGTTTTTATAGGAAAAAAACGCTTAGCAGTTTATTAGTATGAACTCAAGATGGCATGAATCCACATATTAGTTTAGAGTCTTTAGACGAACAAAAAACAAACCAAAGTCAGGACGTGAAGAAGCCTCCGAACTCGTTACGTATGTAGCCTGGATGTTTCCTTGTCTGGTGCTCTTCTTGCAGTGGGCCTCGATCCCCCTCGTGTTTCAATACCACAAGAGTGTCTGGGTAAGGTTCATTTATGTTGCCATTGCTGAGCTTTTGGAGGTGGTATCTGTGCTTCTTCAACTCCGCTCTAATGAGCGCTCGTTCCGATATTTTTTTCTTGGTCGCCTTCTCCCTCGCCTCCACTCTCCTAGGATCCTCCAGCTTTCCTATCTCGTTGTACGTCTTCTTCTTCGCCGTCGATTCAGACTTGGGCTTGACCGGGGAACCCTTTATCGAGTGGTCGATCTGCATTCTGATAGACTTCCTCACTGTTTGCTGATTGATCCATTCCGTGGCGACGGAGTTCTTCACCTGCTGAATCAGCTCCATTATGCGGAGATGATGCCACCGCCCAAAAATGATACTGTTACCTTAGTGATTAGAAAGAGAGCTAAATTGCATATCCCCAAAACTGATACTATTACCTTATATAGCTGGAAAGACAGCTAATCAATTAAACCACCGACAGTACTTGGACCAGCTATCGGCCGCGGTAAAAAAAAATAGAGTAGAAACGTTTCTAGTCGGGTGAATTTGGTCGCTCCTGTAGTGGCCCATACGTTTCCTAAAATCGTGGCGTGGGTTGTTAACGGGCACGCCTTTAGCAAAAGTATTGGTGGTTGAACTGTGTGGAGTGCAACAGTGGTGTTAACTTAAACACGACTCGATGGACATAGAAAATGTCTCTCGATTCTCGAACCTATTCATTGATTCACGATGGATTGATCATTTGCTTATCCTCCAGGGGCCTTGAGGATGAAGAGCTTGAAACTGCAACGTGCTCCGAGTTTCTTGTTTTTTCCTTGTTAATTAATGCTTGTTAATTTATTGATTAACATCGAATCGGGATGACCGCAAGATGATTGCCTGGAATTTGAACTGCCTAGCCGATCAGAAGTCTTTGCAGTCGTTCCTTGCCCGTTTGGCTGCTAACAAGCGCCGTTAGACAGCGCCAACCCGTAAGACGGATGACAACGGAGTAAGCAGCCCAAATTCCTGCTCAGTGATGATAGGACAGATGTCAAATACCAGATTTTAGGCCTGTCTCAGATTGACTGATTGGTTGCTCTTAAGTATGGCCAATCGGCCACAAGCCATTCAGCTGTTTGTTCGACGCCTGCGTGGCTTCGTACTGTGTATAGCCGTTGGACCGCTCGCAGTTTCGTTTGACCGCTCGAAGTTTAGTTCAACTTTAACAATGACCGCCGGATCCAAGAACTGTCAGACAGCCCTTCGCTAGCTTGGACACTCCAAGACGAGAATAATATCCCTTTGCCGGTTGATGGCGAAACTGGTCGGTGGAAGGACAGACGGCGAGAAGGACTCCAATGCACAGCGGCACGTCTTGAATAGGAAAGTGGCTGGAAAACTTTGTGGGGCATCATAGGTTGCTGCGGGAGGCGTGTGTAAAGCACCAAGGCCTTCTGTCTTCACATGGGTTGAGGCGAAAGCACTAAGGTCTTCCTTTTCGCATTGCTAGCGGGGTGTCAGTTTGTTTTGCCCGGTTCCCACTCTTCAAGTCCTGGAGAGAGAGAGAGAGAGAGAGAGAGAGAGAGAGAGAGAGAGAGAGAGAGAGAGAGAGAGGGTTAGATAGAGGGAATAAAATTCAACAAAGAATTGAATAGGCAATCTCGAGTATAGTTTATCTCAATGTATATTATGTTAGAGGTTAAATGTTGAATAGTAGAGCTGAAGCTCCTTGTTGATGATGCCTGTAGGCTGTCGCCAGATAAAAACAGGTACCGATGATTCAATTGAAGCTCTTGTTGTATCTTGCGGCGAACCATATACTACCGTAGTAGCCGACTTTACACATTTGTAAAATTATTTCACCTAACTTGTGTACTAGAAAGTTGAAACTGGGAAAAAAAATAAAAATAAAAAAAATTCAGTCAATGTCATTAAACTGATTGGACATTGGAAATCTGCGATGGATTTTGTTCTCTCTCTTGTATGCAGTATATTTGTGTATTGATTGGGCCTCCTCGCTGCACTACTCTCCACATGCACAAAAGACAAAAAAGATGGCCATGTATCTTTCCATGTGCTAGCGGTTGATTCAGTCTCATTTTGCACATTTGGAGAGTAGTGCAGGGAGGCCCATTATTCGATTTTTTATCATTGATAAGTAGTTAAAGAAAACACATTGACAATTTGAGAGAAAACAAAATCAATTCATAAAAAATTTTCTTTACTTTTTTTTAAGATTTGCGGTCCTTCCCCAACATAGAAAACATGGTGAGCTTGCCAGATTCAGAACTGAACTATTCATATAGATTATAGCTTCTTTTCAGGGGAAAGTTTTGTTTTCTTCCTTTCTTCCCCCCCTTCCCCCTTCCCCCCCCCCCCCCCCCCCTCTTTTTCTCTATTTTTTATAAAAGGGCGACAGCCTTGATATATCATCTTTGAACTGACTGCCCCCAGGTAATTCACAATTATGCCCTTCTGTTATTTAATCTGATTGCACTTGGGTTCGAACTCGGGTCTGTAAAAAAAAAAAAAAAAAAANAAAAAAAAAAAAAAAAAAAAAAAAAAAAAAAAAAACTTGGGTCTGTATTCCAACAGTTCGTAGGGGCGTCACCAACTGAGCTAGGGCCGTCGGTCTTTTTTTTTTTCGCTTTTTTTTTCAAGGGCGACGGCCTTGAGATATCATCATGCATGGAGCTGACCGACCCCATTCTGGTCATCATGCATTGTATGTGGACTCGAACTTGGGTCTGTATTCCAACGGTTCGTGCCCGTACCAACTGAGCTACCGGTAGTAGGCTCCGCGGTCCGCTTTCTTCGCTTTCTACCAGCTTGTTAGCAGTGGCAGCCAAACGAGTAAGAAAGGACTGCAAAACTTCTGATCGATCGACTGCTTCAAGTTTCAGTCCATCATCATCATCATCATCTTGCCTTTGCCAAGTACTGTAATTCATGCTTGTGAATTTTCCTTTTTTTCCACTCGTTACAGTAACTAATGCTTGTTAAAAAATAAAAAAAATAAAAAGAAGAAGAAGATTAACAGCGAATTGATGGCGGCCCAGATGCTTGATTGACGGTAAATTGAACTACGGTAGCCAATCAAACGGTTTGCAGTCGTTCCAAGGACGCCCGTTTGGCTGCAAACAAGCGCCGTTAGACGCTGTTAATCAATAAATTCACAAGCAGCCCGTTTGGCTGCTAACAAGGGCCGTTAGACAGCGCCAGCCTGTAAGTCAGACGACCTTGGAAGGAACTACTATTGAGTTCCTTACATTCCTTCTTGATTGATTGATGCTGTTATGACATCGAGATCGAGATGATGATGGCGATCACAAGTTTCGTTGTCGTTCCTTGTTGGCCATTGTTGGCTGCTCACAAGCACTTGAGACAGTGCCCACCTGTCAGACAACCGCCGCGGAATAAGAGCTCAAATTGCTGCTCAATGATGTGATTCGAAAGATGTGAAGTAACAGATTTCAGGCCTCTCTCTGAGTGATTCAAAATTGCTGAGTACGGCCAATCAGGCACAAGTCATTCAGCCGTTCGATGCACGCGTGGCTGCTTGCCACATAGTCATTCGACCGCTTGGAGTTTAGCCGCAGTTTAATAGCGATCGTCAGATCAGCTCCAAGAACTGTCAGACAGCCCTTCGCTAGCTTGCACACTCTTCGAGCCCAGGTGACGTGCGCATTCACGATCATTGTGTCTATACAATCAACTCGAGCGAGTGAGAGAGGGACACACACACACACAGGCGATGTGATCGAGAGAGAGAGAGAGAGAGAGAGAGAGAGAGAGAGAGAGAGAGAGAGAGCAGGCATACAGTTGCGTGTCCTGAGGTGAAATCAAGCCGACAGGGTTGATGCTTGTGAAGGACGAGTGGCACACAACCACAACTCCGTCGCCGTGGTACGCCCCCTACAAACTCATGACGCTACGTGAAACGGGCTACCGCAGCAACGGAACCCAGCTTCTAAAAGAGGTTCACCACACACAGACCCAGCTTCCTTCCAAATCCCACGACCGGTCCTTCAAATTTCGAAGGTGCCGACAGGGCAACCTAGTAGCTGTCGGTCCTCCGCCAACGCGCGAAGGACCGGTCACCGATAAATTTCGGCCCTGATATACCCCTTTTCAGTGGTCGTCCGATGGAACCATCGCCTCCAAAGAATAAGCCCATTCGCACTCAATAGAGTCACTGGAAGTGAGACAAAGGTATATCAGGGCGAATGGGCTTATTCTGCGGAGATATGCGGACTCTCTCTCTCTCTCTCTATCTATCTATCTATCTATCTATCTATCTCTTCGAGTTCTCGCTCTCCCTTTCTCTGTAGCAGCAGCAGAAGATATGCGGACTGACCACGCCAATTCCCCTCGTGGCTTTCCGGACTTACACACTTAATCGTCATGTTGTTCCCTGCTTCCCATCTAGTCTTTAATCAGCGAGCAGTACAGGTAGGCGGGATCACGTAAGCGGTAGTACTAGCAGATCTTTTTCCTAGATCAGACACCATTTGGAGGTCAGGATGCAAGAAATCACATCTAGGGTCTTCTACCGACTGAGTCTGAACAACTGAAACTGAAATAAAAATAACACAACACGCAGAAGAAGGTAGGTGATAGGAGTTGATCTCCAACCTGCTATGCTATGCCACGCTTCGATCGCTTGACCTGATGCCAGATCCCCCGGGCAAAGGTGTTTACTTCTTTGCAGAGTCTGATTCTGGGCAGGCTGATTACTGTTTGGATATCCTCTTGTCCTCTGATCAGACTAATTTGAGTGTGTCCGCTCGCTGGTCGTATGCTGACCCTAAACCCTAATCCAGGCGCGGGTACAGGCTGGCCCGATGCCATCATCATAATCACCAGATCAACAATTAGCCAGTGTGTCTAATCGCTGGTTATACATCGGCCCTTCTTGTGAATGAACCGCAAGCAACGAGCATCTGCACACCTGGATACTGCCGAGAGCTGCCGGACCTCTCGGCCGTTGATTCCTGATCGCGTGATTATCGATTGTCTTCAAGATAGCAAATGCCCGATTGGCTGACTGCAGTACCTACCGCGTTTTTCGGCGTTAACGCGGAGGCTAAATATGTGCGCTGCACGGGTCCATATGCATTTGCGTCAGAGGGGGGCTAAGTGCCCCTGAGGACTGGTGGTTTTAACCCCTGATCTGCAGGTAGTAAATCTTTGATTGCTTGGTTAGCAGATGGTGTCAAAGTACAGTGTGGCTGATTACCTGTTGCCTTGAGGTCAGGCTCTGAACGCCTGCAGCAGCACCCCTTGATTGCCTGCTGCATCAGGCTCGGATGGCCTGTCCTGCACTCACTTGTCCTACGGATCCTGTATATGCAGCAGTGTGTAGGTCCCGTCCTGATCCAGGTCTAGATTTTCACATGGTCCTGGGGCCAAGTCCCACTTACGCTGATCTTTCATTCTTGGTCGTGGATCTTCCTAATCTATGGTCGGAAATTGAGATTTCGGGTACGTGGCACTTGGCCCCAGGCCCATCAAAGGCCCTACTTGGTCCGTCCTGGCAGGCTGGCAAAATACGATACGATGCATGCAATGACCAACGGGCCGCTCCGTTGGTACGCCCATGAGCTCTTGAATTACGGGCTGAAGTTCGAATCCCCACTTCTGAATTACCAGGGTCCGGTCAGTTCAAGGATAATGTCTCACGGCAGTCATCCTTTTAGGGGGAAAAGAAAAAAAGATTTTTTTCAAAATGCTCCTGAAGTTTGCGTTTCGTTGCGATTTGCCCCTCCGACGGCCGGGGTACCTTGATTTGCCCCTGGGCCTGTGAACTGTCGTGCAGGCCCCTGTCAGTGAGGGGCACAACTTTCCGGAATGCCCCCACCAGACCGGCGGTCCTATTTCCCCTGCTGCCTGTCCGATTTGCCCTTCTGTGGGGGATGCATCTTCCTGAGATGCCCTCCAGCAGGGAGGCATTAAGAATTTGAACTCAAAACCCCATAATTTTCCAGGCCGCAACACAAAAAAAAGGGCTGCACTCCATCTCGTGTCCACTGCTGCAATCCACCGTCTAGTGCATTGTCTACCACGTGGGCGCGGGGGACGCAGCCCTAAGGTAGCCAAAGCAATGAGACCAAGACCGCGCACAAGAGAGAGAGAGAGAGAGAGAGAGAGAGAGAGAGAGAGAGAGAGAGAGACAGAGAAAGAGAGAAAGAGAGAGAGAGAGAGAGAGAGAGAGAGAGAGAGTGGGCTTCAGCGTCTGTGTCAAGGTGTCGCATTT